TGTTCAGAGAACTGTAAAGTCATAAATTTTGGCAGACAGTATAGATTTAACGGCACAGTTGGAGTGTGCACTTGAGGATAAGCGACCTGGGGGCTCACATACACATAAGCTGGAGGGTAGAAAAGACATATTTAAAGAATAGTAGCAAAACATGGTGATCTGGGGCTTCATAAATAGAAACATTAAGTTTTAGTAAGGGAAATCATGCTAAATCTTTCAGTATAGCTTCATGTCTGGTAACCACACTTCAGGAACAATGCAAAGATTGACCAGAATAGTTCTAGGAACTAGGGATTTTATTGACAAGGTCAGGGTTGTTCTCCTTGAAGCAAAACAGATTGAACGACGTTTCAGGACGATGACAGGTTGAGATAAGGTAGACAAATGCAAAATTATCCCTATGAATTGGATGGTACAACAACTGGTGAACAGATGCGGGGAAGGATGTGTGGAAGCACTTCACTTAAGCAGCAAGCTTGAATGATCTGGACTTTGGAAAGCAGAGACAATTGGATTACAGAGTTGCTGTGCCAACTGGCTACCTTCTGTTCAAACAGAGCTCTGACTGAGAACCACAAAATGAGCATAGAAAGAAGTGTGTGGTCTTTCAACACAAACATCAAACCATTTGGAGAAACGGGGTGATCAAAAAAAGGCACCTCTTAAATTTGAGATACTATCAATGAAACGGAGGAAACTGCAGACATAAGAACCAGGAGTAGGCAATTCAGGCCTGCTCCATTTGATATGATCATAGCTGATCTCATCTCAGCCTCAACACCACTTCCCTGCCCGCTCTCCATAGCCCTTCAACCCATTACTATTAAAATCTGTCTTACCATAAAATTTACTCCATGTCCCAGCATCCACCAGAGGGAGTGAATGCCACGGATTTCTGAACCTTAGAGAAGTAATTTCTTCTCACCTACTTTAAATCTATTACCCCATATCCTAAAACTAAAACCCTTGGCCTACATTCTCCCAGTTGAGGTAGCATCCTCTCTGCATCTACTTTGTCAATCCCCTTCAGCATCTTATACACCTCAATTAGATCCCCTCAGTCAGTTAATTATTTTGCCAACATTTACAGAAAAAGGTGCCAGTATCCCAGATAATCAAAGGAAATTAATGCTGGCTTAAGTATGGGGATTCCACTAAATTAAGACCTACTGTAAAGGAGGAAATAATGGCGCTGCAGAGTGACAATTATCCAGGATCAGATGGTTTCCATCAGTGTGACTGACATTTCCAAAGTGAAATTTAGTATATTTCTATGGAGAAAAAGGGTATGAAAACCTTGGAAATCTCAACAAATAACAATGGATGATAATTTCAAAACAAATGACAATGCTTTCCGCACCCCCCAAACAAAGATTTTAAGGCTAAAGTAGGAAAAAATGTGGGGATGGGTCACTGAATTCAACATTAGAAAAAAATCTGGAATTAAAACTCTTAACGATGACCATTAATCCATTGCCAATTGTTAGGAAAAATCCATCTAGTTCACTAACACCCTTTAGGGAAGGCAGCTGTCATTCCTACCTGGTCTGGTCTACATGGGCCTCCAGACCCAGAACAAATGGCCACAGGATTAGTCTTAACCGTCCTCTGGGCAATGAGGGATGGGAAATAAATACTGGCCTAACTAATGACACCCTCATCCCATGAATGAAAAAAATAATAAAAAATATGTAATTAAAAGATAACCTAATGGCACCCATGTAACACATTGCCAAATGCCATTAAAAACAAGATCTGCCATCCTTTCTTCGTCTGGCCTACGTATGACTCCAGACCCACGGCAATATGGTTGAGTTGCAAATGCTCTAGGAAGGTAATCAGTTTAACTAGGGGTAGCCAATGAATTTTGCTCAGAGACAAAGTTAGAACACAATGAGTAACTAAGCCACTGATCAGTCATGATCTCTCAAAACAACACACAATAGTGACTAGGGTCAAGGAACTACATGTGGCTAGAATGCTACCATCCAATCACTGGAACCCACAACATATTTTAAATTTCATTCATTAAGTGAATTGCTCCCCAGTGGGACATTCTTTCACTTCGGCAAGAATGAAAAAGCAGAATTTTATTTAAATGGAGAATGACTTCAGAATTGAGGTGCAGAATGATCTGGGTATTCTAGCACACATCACAAAGAGTTCACGGGTACAGAAAGTAACTGAAGCTAATGAACTATTATCCTTTATTACAAAACATACTTCATTTATCAGGGCATTGATGAAACCACATCTGAAACACTGCAGTCTCATTCAAGGGTGGATGTAAATGTATTGGAAGAAATCCAGAGATTTACTAGATGAGTGGGCTTGTTTCCACTGGAGTTTAGAAAGAGGGATGACTTGAATGGAATAGGGCCCTGGATGGTCTAGACTCAGCATAAAAAGAATAACTGCACTTCTAGGCAAGTCCAGACTAGGAGGCACTCAACAAATTAGAGGATCATCCTTTTAGAATGGAGGAGAAATTTCTCACCCCTTCCCTCTCCCACTTTCAATTTTGATTTGTACCTTTTGTTCTCTCTTACCTCAGTGATTAGCAATGTGTACAACTGTCCAAACACTACTAGGTATTTTCTATCTCAGATTATGAGGTTTTCTTATGCCATTTGGCAGGAGTGACCTGCTATAACATACCACAGCTGCCATGACTGCTTTAGTTTCCAGTAAGCTGCGACTGGGATTTGCATTACAACATATTATACAGTCGCTAGATTCTGTATCCATGTCTGCATTTGATGTACTTGAGAACCGTTAGAAAATTTGAAGGCTGTGCCACGAAAGGAGCTTAAAGCAATCTCACTTTCTTTCATTGTCAGGATGTAGCCAGGCAGCTCAAGCAGATCAGCTCTTGCAGTCAGCTAATCTCAAGATGTGACATTGAGTGAACTTTCTTAAAACCCTTACTCCCACACTTTCCATGCTGTACAACTCAATCTCTAGAAGAGCCCATGACATGAACAGCAAACAAGCCGTCGTTTAAACCTTTACAATCCTGAAACATCATACTATCACAGCACATTACGACCCTTTAGAAATACTTCTACAAACTACGTAGTGTGAAGCATGGAAACACCCTTTGGTCCAAATCTTCCATGCCGAATATTTTTTAAATTAATCCAGTCCCATTTGCCAGCATTTGGCCCATATGCCTCTAAACCCTTCCTATTTACGTACCCCATAACTGCAGTTGTGAAAGGTATTGCTTGAATCTAAAGAGTCCCCCTCCACTGCACCCCAACCTTCTATCGTCCAATGCAAAAATTCTCCAATTTATGGAATTACCCCAAACAATCCAGTATCAACCACCATTCTGCTTATCCCCTTTTACATCACTGCAATGTCTTTGCGCAGTGTGGCAACCAAAATTGCACGCATACAATATGATTTCTGGAGTGGCAAGATGATCTTACTGCCTCAGTTCAGTGTCAGATCTTTTAAGGCATCCCACCATCCAATTCATTGCCATCCAGCATTGCTCGGGGTCTAAATCCAACCAGCACCGCCAGATCTCATCTCTTCAACCAGCCATGCCTTGGATTTTCTGTCCCATTTGAGGCTTTACACCCCTCTACAAATTTAAACTGCCCAGTCTGCCGGGTGCCAGTGAAGCCAATAGACTATTTAACACCAAGAATGTTGCTTTCCAAAAAGGAAAGGTATCAAGAAAATACACTTACCTGTTATTGCTCCAGTTGCTTCTACCATCTCCTCTAGTTAACACTTGCAAGCATGCTCTGGCAGGTAGAAACCCATAATGACACTAAGCCCAGACACCTGCCCACTAATGGCACCATAAGCCCAGCTTTCCTCCTGTTAGAAGCACATAAGCCCAGATCCTACATGTGATACTAATGCAGTCCCAGGCGTGGCAATGTCCAAAGCCAATTGGTACCACTCTAAAGGCAAGCCATGCTTATGGCACTGGGAACCCAGCCCCTATTGACACCATAAACCCGGACTATACATGTGGCAGTAGAAATGCTGCTCCCAGGAGGGCTCTATAAGCCTACACATTGCTGGTGGATCATAAACAAACGCAGAGGTGTTGAAAAAGAAACACAGAACCCCGACGCAGAAGATGCGTATGCCCAAACCCTACCTGTGGCTCTACAAGTGCAGACCCCACGAGGATCACAGCAAGCCCGGCCCCTAACATGATACTAAATGGAGCCCAGAACATAGCTCTCAAAAGTGCAGTCCCACGAGTGTCTCAGCAATGGCAGACCCTACCGGTGACATCAGGTGCAGCCCAGACCCTACCTATGGCTCTCAAAAGTGCAGCCCATGAATGTCAGTAATCCCAGACCCTACTTGCAATTCTACAAGTGCAGCCTCAAGCACAACAAACTTGACCCTACAGGTGGATCTGCAAGTGCAGCCCCCAAGTCCCTCAGCAAGCCCAAACCCCTATCTATAGCCCTCAAACATGCAGTCCATGAGTGTCACAATAAGCCCAGACGCCATCTATGACCCTAAGTGCAACCCCATGTTCTACAGCTAATCCAGATCCAACCTATAGCTTTAATAGTGTGGCCCCATGAATGTCTCAGCAAGCCCAGACCCAGACCTGTGACATTAGGTGCAGCCCAGACCCTACCTATGACTCTCAAAAGTGCAGCCCCCATATTACAGCAGTGTCAGACCCTACTTGTAACTCTACAAGTGCAGCCCTGAGGGTCACAGTAATCACAGACCCTACACGTGACACAATAAGTGCAGCCCTGACCCTACCTATGGAGCCCAGGAGTGTCACAATAAGCCCAGACTCTGCATGTGACTCTAAAAGCGAGATGCCCATGAGTGTCACAGTAATCCCAGATGACAAAGACCCGATATACCCAGAATTTGCTAACAGCATTGTAAACCCAATCAGACCCAAATACTCTTGTGGCAGTACCCATTTCCAAAGGGAGAGTTTTCTGAAAGCCAGTACGGAGTTGAATGAAAGAGGTTGAATAAAAAGCCAGACGCATAAAAACCTTTACACTAGCTTTATAATTTTGACAAAACGGCACAGTGAGCCCGTTTTCTTTGAAAAAAGACAGCAATGCTCAAAGATCAGGAAAAACCCCAAAGCAAGTTAACTACCGCATCACAATTCACCCCCCAAGAAGCATTTTACAGAGACACTATTCCCTAGCCCCAAGTACACAATGCATCAAGTCAACGAAGACCCATCTACCCCATCACAGGAAAACAGCCAGGAATTACACAGCAAATTGCAACTGGGGTTCCCTGTTACAAGTTTCAGTACAGCCCATTCCAGAAAAAACCCAGTGAATAAGCAAAGGATCCCAACCCTCATTACATGTGCTCAAAGGCCCACCAATTCTCCCCCCCGCCATGAAAACATGCAAGTTACATACAAATCGCAGTGAAATTCACCCCCATAAGATCTCAAATAATTCCCATTTCAGGAATCGATCCCTCCCCAGTGAACAAAGACATTAATAAACCACGAACATACCCACTACAAGTGCTGGATAAATTCCCATTACCAGACCCACCCCACCCACAATCAGAACAATGAATCTTGAACAGACAATGGAGTTAGACGACTTCCTCAGGACAAGAAAGCCAGTCCCATTTCTGGCCCTTTCCTCCAAAGCCCCAGGTGATTCCAGTCAGCTAGAGCCAAACTGTAGTTAAAGGATCCCCCACTATAGCAGAGACGTGAATGAGTCCCAATTCCAGCCCTCACTGCGAACAATGTAAGTCAACGAATGAACTTAGACCACAGCCATCCCCCAGAGAATAAGCAGAATAGCTGGCTCCAAAAGCTACAAGGATCAGACAGACTGATGCTCCTTGAGAAAGTCACATTGAATCCAGCAGCCTGTCTCGGCTCGGTGTCATCTCGGTTCCTTCTACAACCATTCCACCAACCCACCACCCCACCCCACCCACACAATCTTCGCTGCTGATGAGTGACTATCTTCCAAGCAGGAACTCAAATGGCCCTCCTCAAACAGGGAAGGAACCTGGCAACAGAGAAACAGGTTTGCAGAACAGGTGGGGGAAATGGTAGAGACACAGAAGGGTAGCCAACATAAAACATAAAAGGATCAGGGAAACCTGCCACTGAGAAGGGGAAAGCTGAACAGAATGAACGGGGGGCTGTGAGATTGCAGTAGGGCCTCTGTAGAGCATTAGTGATGGCGAAAACATCCTCCAAACCTTATGTGTTGGTGGTGAATCTTCATGAGGCCTCTCTCACCCCCTTGCCCCAAGACTTGGATTTGCGTCACCACACATTCACAACACTCTATCCCAAGATTGCTACCTTTCAGTGGCGACTTAGACTCCACCTTCCTCACTTTGTGCCTGGGGACCTTCACGACTTCCCAAGACCAAAGGCTTTTCCCAGTGGCAGATCTCTTCACGTTCTCCACCGCCCCCCCCACCCCACACCCCTACAAGGGTTTGATTCACGTCAGTGGATCTTCATTATCTCTCTACCCCCATCCTCGGTTTTGGAGAAGCCTGCCAGCGTTGTGGGGGGGTGGGGGGGGTGGGGAGAGGGGGAGGAGGAGGGAGATGGAGAAAGAGGTAGGGTGAGGGAGTATCAAGAAGACAGCCCTACCCCAACCCCACCTACAGATCTCCCTCTGCCCCCTCACATTCCCACCCCTCTCCCCGCCTTCACCCCCACCGACCCCTCAAAACTCTTCAGTAACCACGAAGCCTGGAGCCGTAGCCGTTCAGGTAAGGGGCTCTCAAATACTGCGGCGGCGGAGGGGGCATAGGCCTCATCATGCCGGGAGGGGGACGACGGTGGTCCTGGTAGGCAGCGGCCCCAAAGGGCGGCCGCCCCCCACCTCGGGGCGGCGGTGGCGGAGGAGGGGGGGCCCGGTATGGGTCGTAGTAGCCGGGCTGGTCATCGTAGTAGTAGTAGTGGTGGTGGTGGCCGCCTGCGGGCGGAGGCCTGGAGGCCGGGTAAGGGCCCGCGTCCTCTCGGTACTGCTGCTGGGGGCCCCCGGCCCCTCCAAGGTCCCACGACTCGCGGCTCGGGTTGGAGCGGGACAGCTGCACGAACATGTTCTGGCCCTGCAGCGGGGTGCCGTCCAGCGCCTGGATGGCGGCCAGCGCCTGGCGCTCCTGCTCCATGTAGACGAAGGCGAAGGTGCGCGCCACGTCCAGGTCGACGACCCGGCCAAAGCGCTGGAAGAGCTCCTTGATGGCGGCGCCCGACACCGGCTCGGCCAGGTTACCCACGAAGACCTTGGTGGTGTTGCGGGTGCGCGCGTTCGCCACGCCCACTGTGATGTGCGCGCCGTGCACGTTGCTCCGGTGCAGCGCCTTGATGGCGCGCGTCGCCTGGCTCAGCTTCTCCATGTGCACGAACGCGTAGTTGCGCACCACCTCGCACTCGCTCACCTCGCCGTACTTCTCGAACATGCTGCGCAGCTCGCTCGGGCTGCAGTAGCGCGACAGGTTGCCCACGAAGATCTTCACCATCTTGACACTTGGATCGCCCGTCCCCTCCCAACCCCTCCCCCCCGGAAGAACCCCGCCCCCCCCCCAACTCCCGAACTCTTCGGCCGCCAGCAACAGACTGAGCTCTTGCCCCAAGATGGCCGCCCTATTTGTACTGAGGGGCGTGTCGTCGTGCGTCTGCGCGTCACGACGGGATACCCCAGGAAAATAATCGTCTCATCTAGAGGTGGGCGTGTCCTGCTACGGCTACGCCTCCTTCGTGACGCCGCGATTCCTCGCCCCGCGACCGCCTTCCTTTTAAGGAAAGTGGGTCGACCACGCCCTTTTTCGTTACGTAATGGCGCATACGCGCTCCTACAAACGCGGCCATACTATTGGTTGAGAAGGAAAAAAAACCTGGTGAACATGGTGGGTCAAGCAGTGTCCATGGAGTGGAAAGGAAGCTAATGTTTGGCGTGTGGAGGGATGCAGCATTTATGCGATTGTTTTTGGGGGTGGGGGAGATACGATGTTGGTAGTTCAAGTGAAGTGATGGGAATGTGAGAATGGTAGAACAATGGTGTGCCAGGCTGAGTAGGACAGATAGTCCTAATTGGCGTGGAAGAGAATGTAACAAGCAAAGCTAAGAGCAAAGGAAAGAACGAGTTCACCATTTGAAGGCATCGAACTCAAAATTGAGCCCAGAAGGTCGCAAACTGCCTAGTTTGAAGATGAGATAGTAGGAACTGCAGATTTTGGAGAATCTGAGGTAACAAGGTGTAGAGCTGGATGAACACAGCAGGGATGCTGCTTGGCCTGCTGTGTTCATCCAGCTCTACACCTTGTTGTCTTAGTTTGAAGATGAGATGTTGCTTCTCCAGTTTGTGCCATGTTTGCTGAAGCATTGTAGCATGCCGAGGACAGACACAGGGTGGGGGCATGTGAGCAAGACGCTGCGTTAAAACGAGGGGCTACGGGAAGCCCGGGGGTCGTGCGTGGGCATGGACCATATGTGTTCTGCAAAGTAGTCACCCAGTCTGTGTTTGCTGTTTGCAAGCTGTACAGGCAAATTATACTTAGCAAGGACGTACAGAACACATGGTGCTTAGGTAGAGTGAGGCACACAGGTTATACCTCCCAGGAGATGCGTGAAGTTAGAGAGTCTGTTCATCAGTCTAATAACATCAGGGAAGAAGCTGTTCTTGAATCTTTTCATGCACGTTCAAGCTTCTGTATCTTATGCCTGATGGAAGAGGTTTGAGGAGAGCATTACTGGGTTGGGAGAGGCAGAGAGAAGTGTAAATGGAGTCCATGGATGGAAGGTTGGCTTTCATGATAGTCTGGGCTGTGCACACAACCTTCTGTAGTTTCCTACGGTCCTTGGTAGAGCAATTGTGGTACCAATCCATTATGTACCCGGATGATATGTTTTCTATCATACATCTGTAAAAGTTGGTGAGCGTCCTTATGAACATGCCAGTTTTCCTAAGCTTCTGAGGAAGAAGAGGCATTGTTGTGCCTTCTTGACCATTGCATCATGTGGGAAGTCCAGTACAGGATGTTGATTATTATCACTCCGAGGAATTTGATGCTCTCAACCCCTGCTCTATGGGGCTGAGAACGCATCCTTGGTGGACTCCAGTGTTGATGTTATCATGGAGGAGGTGCAGTTGTCTGTCTTCACTGCGGTCTATTGGTCAGGAAGTTGAAGATCCAGTTGCACAGGCTGGAGCCAAGACCTAGGTTTCAGAGTTTTAAGATCAGTCTGGAGGGATTATGGTGTTGAAGGGTAGAGCTATAGTTGATCAGTAGGAGTCTGATGTATGTGTCCTGTTGTCCAGATGTTCCAGGATAAGTGCTGCTTCACCTGAAAAGACTGTTTAGGCCCTTGGATCGTGAGTAGGAAAGGAGGTGAAGGAATAGGTGCCGCACCTTCTGCAGTTATATGGAAAGGTGCTGCGGGGGCTGTGGGGTAAGCGTGTTGGTGTTCAAGGTCCCTAGTCCATTCCTCGACCATCGACACTACACCACTCTACCCCTTCACCCTGTCTCCCCTCCCCTTCCTCCAATGGGACTGCCTGATCTTTCCAGTCTGGCAGTTAGACACACTATTGTTCTGCCATTCTCATACTCCAATCACTTAATCTGAATTATCAACATCCTTTCTCGCCAGCACTCCAAGCCCCCCTACCACTATTGCATAAATGCTGGCCCAAAACTTTATTCATAAAAATATCTTTATATGCAGATATAGTCACTAAATCAGTTCGGTACTGTACAGCAGCATGTAAAGAAACCAACTTTAGAGTTTGACTCTATCCAACAAACAAACCCAAAGAATTTTTTATAATCATAATCATAGAGTTACACAGCACAGAAACAGATCCTTCAGTCCAACTCCACCATGCAGACCAGATCTAGTCCCATTTGCCAACATTTGGCCCGTATCTCTCTCAACCCTTCCTATCCATGTACCCATCCAGATGCCTTTTAAATGTTATAATTGTACCAGCCTCCACCACTTCATCTGGCAGCTCATTCCATACACACACCACCTTCTGTGTGAACCTTAGGTCCCTTTTATATCTTTTCCTTCTCACATTAAACTTTGCCCTCTAGTTTTGGACTCCCCTACCCTGGGCTATTCACTCTATCCATGTGCTTCATGATTTTATAAACCTCTATAAGGCCACCTTTCAGCCTCCAACATTCCAGGGCAGAAAAGCCCCAGCCTAATCAACTTCTCCCTGTATCTCAAACCCTCCAATTCTGGCAGCATCCTAGTAAATCTTTCCTGAACTCTTTCAAGTTAACAACATCTTTCCTATAGCAGGGAGGTTAGTTGTACAAGACTATATTTACATACCCACTGGAGGCACTGGGAGGGTCTGATAACCAAACAGATCCAATTTAACTTTAGCAGGAAGACCTGTGACAGTGGTCTTTCCTTAACAAGCCTTGGCAGCAGCTGCCTCATGCTTCAGTGCATCCCTCAACACATAGTCCTGGACCTTGGAATGTGCCAGTCTGCAACACTCTGTCAAGGTCACTTCCCTACTCTGGAAGACCAACATGTTTCAGGCAGACTAAAGAGTGTTTTTGACCCAGTTGATGGTCCTCCAGGCACAGTCGCTGTTTGCCTCAGTGTGTGTTCCGTTGAACAGACCGTAGAGCACAAAGTGCTGCATCACGCAGCTGCTCTGGATGAACCTCAGTAAGAACCACTGTGTCTCTCTCCAGACTTCCATTGACAAGGAATGTGGGGAGGGGTTTTCCTGCCTGGAAGACCTGGGTTAAAAAGTTCTTCCTGTTCCAGACATGTGTAATAACAGCTCTGAACCATGTTGACTAGAAAATATCTACAACAATGAGGGAGCACATCCCCTCCTTCCTTCAACATGGCTTCCTTTTTTACATAACCATGGTTTCCCGCCCACTGTGTTTGCCAGAGCCCTCAACTGCATCAAACCTATCGCCCATGCTTCTGCCCTTGCCCTTACCCATCACTCACAACAGTGTGATCCGGTCCCCCTTGTTGTCACTCTTCACCCACCCCGCCCCCAATCTCTGCATTCAAAGTATCATTCTCCGCCATTTCAGACATCTCCAGCAGAATGTCACCAGCAAACACATCTTCCTCTCACTCTCCCGGTCTGCATTTCACAGGGATCATTCCCTCCTTAGTCCATTCCTCGACCACCAACGCCATCCCCCTTCCCACGTAACCGCAGAAGGTGCAACACCTGCCTGTTCACCTCCTCCCTGCTCACTATCCAAGGGCCTAACCAGTCTTTCCAGGTGAAGCAGCATTTCACCTGTACCTCCTCCAATCTTGTGCATTCACTGCACCCAACGTGGCCAACTATACATCGGAGAAATCAAATGCAGACTGGGTGACCGCTTTGCAGAACACCTCTGGTTCATGCGCAAGCATGACCCCAGCCTTCCCATAGCCATTCATCTTAACACAGCGTCCTGCTCGCATGACCACTTGTCTTTCCTTGGCATGCTGCAGTGTTCCAGTGAATCACAGTGCAAACTGGAGGAGCAACATCTTGTCTTCAAACTAGGCAGTTTACAATATTCTGGGCTCAATGTTGAGTTCAACACCTTCAAATTGTGAACCCATTCCTTCCCTTTCTTTAGCTTTGCTTGTTGCATTCTGCCACCGTCTCTCTCCCCCCACCCCAGTGGGACTGTCTGATCTTTCCAGTCTGGCAGTGAGACACACCATTGTTCTGCCATTCTCACATTCCAATCACTAAATCCGAACTATAAACATGCTTTCTCCCCCAACACTCCAAACCCCATTCCACCACTATTGCATAAATGCTGCCTCCTCCACACTTCACTTCAGCTCTGACAAAGAGTCATCTAGGCTCCAAACATTAGCTTGCTGTCTCTCTCCAGGGATGCTGCCTGACCTGCTGTGATCTCCATCACCTCTTGTCTTCATTTCCCCTCCTTCAAGACTTTCTTTTGGTTCCTTCATTCGTGGGATGTGGCCGTTGCCGGCTAGACCACGTGTGTTGCCCACACGGCGGTTAAGAGTCAACCCACTGGAACAGAGCAAAAAAAAACCAAACTGCTGGGGCTGAAAATTAGAGTTAAAAAGAGAAATTGCTAGAGAAATTCAGCAGGTCAGCATCTGGAGAAAAGGGTCACTAGACTCGAAGTGTTAACTCTGCTTTTTCTGTCCAGAAGCTACCAGTTCTGTTAAGTTTCTCCAGCAATTTGTTTTTTTGTTTTTAATCCATGGAGCAAGAATCTTTCCCTGATGAGGAGAGCTTTTCCATGCTTCTTGGTGTCAGCAAACATAGTCTTCCACTGGTGACTGGTGATGTCCCCGTGTGGCAGGGGGGACATGCCCTCACGCGTGGCCCATCTTTCCTGGGCCGATGGGCTGGCTTCTCTGCACATGCTCCTCAGTGTCAGCAAACATGGTCTCCCGCTGGCGACTGGTGATGTCCCTTTGCGGGGAGAGGGGCATGCCCTCACGCGCTGCCCAAACAATGAGATACCCGTCTTTCCCGGGCCGACGGGCTGGCTTCTTTGTGCATGTTCCTCAGTATTAGCA